CAGGCCTGGCATATGTACTACAGCGTCTCCAGCGCTTTCGAGCGGCAATGGCCGGCCGTGGCCCAACCCCACATTCCCCTGATAGGTGGAGAGTTGGACAGTGTTCAAATCTGGATCAGTTTTTATCAGATCCGTTGCAGCCCCTTTTTTTAGAGATTTGGGTATGGAGGAAAATAGAGAGGGTTGTGTTTTCTGACACTTGGTGACTTCCCTGGAACACCGGGGACACATATTCATGTATAAAAGACGTACAAAAGTGCATTTTGCATGATAGGTCCCCTTTAAGTAAAACATGTAGTTACTTTTACAGTACACAACTTGATTATTTTCATGTTATGCTGCTTGATACTTTGAATCCACTACACTTATAGGCCAGTTTTTACTTCATCTCTTTTACATATGTAGTTACTATTAAAGTTGCAGATTGAGGTTATTAATACAACATGTAAAACAACACACATTGGAATACCTTATAATAGATTAAGCTACCCATTAGTGTAACAAGTAATTCATATACACCTTTACTGTACCAACAGCGACACTGAAGTGATGAACACATTAATGCATCAACCATTTTAATAAAATGATTTTTAAATATCTGGTGCTTTATAATGGCCATTTTGCATAACGAGTGATTTTACTTTTGGAACTTAAAGTAGTTTTCAATGCTAATAGTTATTTACTTAAGTAATACTGTAAAAAGCACGACCAATTATTTTAGCCGGCCCGGCTAAAATAACTGGATGGCCTACCTGCCTGTCAGCCTTCCATCTGTGCACAAACTTATCTCGTGCCCTCATTGGTCATGTGCGCGTTCGTGTGTGTTGGAGGAGGGGCTCTATAAGGAAGTGGCAGATTTTCTCCGGTTGTGTATTTTCAAATTCTAGCGATCTCGAGCCGGTTTCTCAAACTTACCTACAGTAGGCTACAGTACTTAAGTAAATTCTTAGTTACTTCCACCACTGATCTTTTTTATGAAAACATATTGATTTTTGCAGTGTGAACCATAGCATCTACAGCTGTTTAGGTTGTATTACACTCTATGAATACCGTGCAAACAAACTAATAGTAAACCAGTGGCGGCCGGTGGTCTTTTTTTTTGGTGGGGCTCTTGACGTACCGTAAGTGACCTACCCGGGGGGTCCGGGGGGTTTTCCCCCGGAAACTTTTTTCGAGAAATGACCCCTTAAATGATGACTTCTGGTGATGTTAGAGGGGGGGGGGGAAAGGAGAAATCGAGGCTTAAAAATATGAGAAGACTGATCAATACCTCCATAATCTTCAGTGTGGAAAATATTATTTATCAACCTGAACATCTACTACTTTACCAGGAATTTGTGTTCTCAGAACTGGTCTGTTTTTTTCTTTCTTAAAACTGTTCATGTTTTATGAACCAACACCTTCACCAAGTAGCTTTACAGTGAACTGCATGTGAGATATAAAATTAATAGCATCTTTTCAGTAGCATTAATTATAAATATTTAAGTGGTTCAATACAAGTCACTACAGCATTTCAAACTGAACTGTGAATAAATGCAATTTAAAAAAAAATAACCACAGCACAAAATGTCATAAATTGTGTTTTTTCTTTGTTTCTCTGAGGATTATTTACAAACAGGCTTATTTACATATAGCAATAACTCAGAAATGAAAAAGCTACATCGTCTAACACGAACAACCACTTAGCATAATGATAATATATGTGTTATGTACAATGTAACTGGCAAGGCTAGAGCAAGAAAGAACATAAAGTTTGCAAAAGGTTTAAATAACTTCAAGTATCTGTCTTCAGATTACGTGGAGGTTTTAGTCCGATGGGAAGCAGATTTTAAGCGACACCGAAGATAAACCAAAAATGTGGTGGAGCTGCAAACCGTGTAGTGTTGCTGGGACAGAACAGGAGCTATAACCGTTGGAAAATACATCACAGACAATGCAACAAACGTGGAGACAGAACAATCACTTCTGTGATAAATGCCCACTTATTAATAAACTTCTAACAACCATGGGAAACCTCCTCTCTACATATAAAGTGATATCCAAGCATGGGAAACAAAAGACAGCATTTACCTGTTTGCATCCAGCTAGCCAAGCCTTTCTTGTGTACCAGCTACTTGTGAAGCCTCGTGTATAAATGTTGTCTTTTTCACGAGATTGCTGCGATATATTCAAATCGGGTTGGTCCGGTGCAAGGTCTTTAAGCAACAATTTATCTGCCAAACTTCTCCTTTCGAAAGGATTGGAGATTAGCTCTTGAACAGAATTAGCCGGGGACCGAGGTCCGGAGACTCCACCTGCACACGAAGCCATCCTCATCAACTACTGCGTCAACCGGATACGAGTCACTGTCCAAACTACTCACAGACTGCACTGGGCGCTGACATTGGCGCCCGGTGACCATCATCTTTGACGACGCTGATTGGCTGAAATTATATTTTCGCGGCATAGTTTACACGTTACAGATAGCAACAGTCAGCTGCTGGTGGCTGCTGCTGCACTGGTTGAAGGCTCCTCTCTTAGCGCCCAGACGAGAGAAGGTGCATGGGCAAGGCCAGGCAGGAAACATGTGACTTATCAGTAACTTTAGACATCGTAACACAATTTTAAACGAGATTTTATTGTAGATTATACATTTTACTGATACCAATTATATAATATTTACCTTGTTCATTAAAAATAAAAATAAAAACATATATATTTTTTTAAACATATTTTTTTTTTTTAATTTTAATTTTAATTATTATTATTATTTTTTTTTTTCAATATGGGAAGAGGTGGGGCGGCGCCCCTAGCGCCCCTATGGACCGGCCGCCACTGTAGTAAACTCTGAATGAGACAGGGCAGCAATGCAAATATGCTGTGGACAAGTTTCAGGGCGTGTGCAAACACTGCAATAAACACAGTGGGGAGTGTGTGGAAAATATAATTATTTAATGGGCTGCTCTTAAGATGTCAAAGAGATGTAAATTAAGTTTCCTATGATGAAGGTTTTTTTTACATTTCCCAGTTTGTTAAAACTTATCTTACACAGATAGTAGCATTTTTTAAGATAAAAAATTGTTACAATGTATATATAAGAAATAATTATTGCCTACATAAATGAGAAATGATGACTAATAACACATCTTTTTCTCATTATATAATCATATATGTCCTACTTCTATCTTGAAGTGTTGCATTATGTATTCATATTTGTATTTATTTATTTACTTACTCACTAATTGATCTAACCCTATTTTAAATTGTGTACTGGTTTAACATAATGCTTGGTTACATTTATTATACATAATATTAGAAGGAAGTAGTGAATTCAACACGAAGTACTGTAGAGTACCTCTAGAGGGCGACTAATCACTGTCTAATCTCAGTCCTACACATCTTTAATCACATCAATAATGACTTTTGGGGACTCATCAGGTGACCATTAAGATCTTAATATTGGGTTTTAATTTATTCTCCAAAAGTCCACATAAAAATTAAGCTTTGACACAAAATAAAAGTTGAAATCTGTACTTAATTTCAATCTAAGGAAAAAGGTGATTTGCCTAAAATGAAAATAAGTGTTAGATAATAAATAAAAAGCAGAGGCCTCCTGTGAACACTGAACATCTTGGGTGGCATGTGTTGCTTCTACAAATGTGGAGCTAGTGCTTTCCTAATGTCTGTGTTTGACACCTACAGATGCCCACAAAATCAAATCAGAGCCATCAGAGCCATCAGAGATGCACCCCCTGCAGCTAGTCCAAAGTCACCTCCTACCAGGGTCTGAGGACACACCAGGGGAAGATGGGATGCACACCGAAGGGAATGAGTATCCCTACGAGCAGGCCCGTTTCCAGAAAAAAATGACTTGGGGTGCATCTGAGATTACAGGGGGTGCAGCAGTAGTAGGCTTATGTGGAGTCTATTTGTATATAACATTACAAGAGTGATTCTTATTATTACATTATATGCTTATTGTGCTAATGAGATGTTGCTATGCCTATAACATAAATAGACACAATCACCAATCCCAGGTTCTGATGGGTTGGATACGAAACGAAGGGAAAAGTCATTGAAGAAAGTTCTAGCTTGTATTAGAAATGTAGCAAAAGCCAGCTGCAGACACTGAGACAAAGAGTTATTGAAAACAGGAGATCGCCCTGGCCTTGAACAGTGTGCGAGCTCCTCGCCTACGCATAACTGGGAACTAGTATAATGGAAAATTCCCAATATCTATTGCAAAGCAGCTTCAGCAAATCAAATTACGTAGGATAGCGACTAGAGTAAGGAGGGAACCTTCACAAGCCGGCCGAATGCTGATTGGAGTTTGTGTTGCCAAGAGACTTTGTCTAAGTCTGTGCACCAACAAGGGAGTGCAAAGTCTAAACCACGGTCCTCCCCATCTAGTCTCAACCAATCATAAATGTACAGGCGGAGGCCTGAATAATACAAATGTATGCACGCACAAGGTTCAATGCTTTTTCCCGGAAATAGAGTTATAGATTACAGCTCTGCTGCCTGTGATTTCTGGGACCGGACGGAGTCCTTGGCCAAGTGAAATATATCTTTTGCTCTCTTTTAATAAATAGTTAAATTAGAAGTTGTTTGTCTTTCCTGGAATAAAAGAACACGACAATAGAGAACCGCAGTGACGCGTCCTAAAACCGGGAAGTATTTAACATGTTTATCATGTGCTGGTAATGCCCCCACCCTCACGCTAGCTGTTTCCCAGGGTGTACAGTCCTTGTGCTAAGCTAGGCTAACTGGCTGATGGTCATAGATATAATTAACAGACATATGTGACAATGGTATTGATCTCCTTACCTAATCATCCACCAGAAAGCTAATATGCATATTTCCCAAGATGTCAACATTTTGTTTAAACACACACACACACACACACACACACACACACACACACACACACACACACACACACACACACACACACACACACACACACACACACACACACACACACACACACACACACACACACACACACACACACACACACACACACACACACACACACACCAGGTGGGAGTGGAGAGAGAAAGAGACAGACACCTACGAGATACACAGCATTTCAATAGCTGAAAGGTAATATCACACTATACTACATCAAATTACTTTCTATTAATGGTTAGTTTTAAAGGTAGTACCAGAAAATGTTAGATTATCATTTTAAGGTTCTGTTAACCTTTTTACTGATACTACTATACAATGTCAAGCACTTGCAACATTAAATTCCAGTGTGTTCACCTGCTGTGTTTTAGACAGGGTATTATCTTACTGCAATAGTTTGTTCCGTAAGTCCGGATGCTTTTTGCTTTTGTGATCTAACACGCCCACACACCCACACACATGAGGCTTATATACCTAGAGAGGGTGTCACCTGTAATACCGTTGAGGTACAATTAGAGTGTTTTTGTATGTGTTCTTGCTGTTCAGAAAAGGAATGATGCTTACAATAATTAGTTATAACAAAGATACAACATGCAACAGAGTTAAACTGTAGTGGTGTCGATATTGGAATTAGTGGCTTTTCAAAAAATGTTTTGTAGATCTTTTGCTCAATAATAAAACACCCTCCCGCTATAATATTTCAAAATCTCAACGGATCAGCAGGAAATTATACATACCATACCAAGGATTAAAAAGTAGGTAAATGGTAGAGTAATGCTCCTTTTGAGGTTCATATGCGTGTTAAATCTCTTTGAGTTAATTAGTAGCTTTTATTAAGCCAAGACTTATAGAATAAATCAAGAACAAACATGTTAAATATAGAGCAAATAGCAAATGTTCCTTTTACAAATGAAAAGTTGCTCAATCCCATTCACTCTAGTACTAACAGGTATACGGGGTGTGGTTAATGCAAGCTATATAGGCCTGATTTGACTATAAGTGCCTGGAAAATGAGATGCAAATACTATGAAGTTATTCTTTCACTTATAATAATAATAATACATTTTATTTGGGGGGCGCCTTTCACAGCACCCAAGGACTACTTACAGGGCATAGGGTAATATAGGGAAATATTAAAGCAGTGGATTTAACAGTTGCTTTAGATGTCCTGGGTAAAAGAAGAAAAGTCACTGTGAACGTTCAGGCATAACGAACTTAAAAAAGCATTCACTAAAGAAGGCATTTTCAGACTCTTTATTGTATGAGCAACAGCTTTGTGTTTCATTACATTTGAACATGTCATGTTAATAGATGTTTGGAGAGCTCAGACTGTGTCAGCCACCCTCAAGAATTACTACAGAGATACAGATTCTCACATTTCAGTGACCAGAAAACCACTGAAGGTTGTATGATGGTCGCTTCCCCAAACATGCGTGCTTGCAGCCAGCTGCACGTACACCTGGTCTCCTTGAACAAGCTGCAGGAACACTGCGTTTCCTCCATTATCAGCTGTGTCAGAGGTTGAAGAGTTATCTTGTGTCCATATCATCAATTCATTGTTCTTGTAGATCCGTAAGTGAGTGCCATAGCTCCATCTAGCATGATAGAAGATGGTAAAGTAATAAACACCTGGAACCGGGGCAGTAAAGATACCTGTGGAAACAACAGGGTGTCACACACCATCAGTGGTCATTCAATGCATTTTAAGACCTCTAAACAGGATGGAAGTAGTTTTACCTGTGGATGGACTGTAGGCGGCTCCAATATTTGTGATCAAGGTTCTGTAGATTAAAGTTGTGTCTGTGTTGAAGGGTCCAATGGCATTCCCTCCTCCTCCTGTTGCTGCACTGAATATGACCGTCTTATTTTCTATACAAAGACACATCGTAATCTCATCATCATTTAAATTTAGCGTAGCATTTCAACAATTTTCCATTTGATAATCCCATCACCACACATTATTCTACCGTGTGAGGTCTTTAAATCAGAACTAAAGTTTCACTTTACCTTTGTTCTTCAGTTCAAGAATCTGGTTTTCACTCTCCTTCAGTCTGTTATCAGTGCCCATCAGCCTGTTATCAGTGCCCATCAGCCTGTTATCAGTGTCCTTCAGCCTGTTTTCAGTGTCCTTCAGCCTGTTTTCAGTGTCCTTCAGCTTGTTTTCAGTGTCCATCAGTCTGGTTTCAGTGTTCACCAGTCTGGTTTCACTGTTCACCAGTCTGGTTTCACTGTTCACCAGTCTGGTTTCCATAGCCTTTAGTTTCTCACTTACATTATCACCTTCCTGGGCCAAAATTAAGCCACTAAACAGCGACACAATCAGCACAATGGTCAATCTCATTTTGTAAATTGATACAACGTCACTCAGTCCCCTGAACTCTAAATGATGTTATCCCTCTGGCTGCTTTTATGTTGTTTATAGGGACCTGTTAATGTTTAACATCAGTTTTGATGAAAGGGTTATTTTGCAATAAGAAAATAGTATTGACCGCATTTTCTGGCAATCCGTTAATCATTGACAGCCGAGAGAAATGTTAACAAAAACACTCTAAGTGGATTATGGTCAGGCACATAAACAGAACACAGACTACAGGTATGACTAATGACATGCAGCACAAAAAACATAAAACATTGTGTCTGCATCTAAATAAATCATATCCCTATTCACTCCTTTCTGGAACTTATTTTGACCAAAAACACTAAAGGTGGTGTCATTGATTCCCCAAACGTTTGTATTTGCACTTAAGTTAATCAACAACTAGTCCTGTGTCTGTCTACAGATGCATGGACCCTGTATTTGCCCAGTTATCTGCCCCATCATGCAATGTGCTGTGGTCAAAGGTCGGCACAATATGCTGATTCCTCTCAAGTTCGTTGTAATGTAATTTGCAACATATTAAAAGTGAATTGATACTTGTGGAAATATTAGTTCTGACACAGCTTTGAGACATAACTTCTATACTTCGACTACATAACCAGTGCAATTCTTCATCTGGGCAATACTCTGCATTGTTCTACAACTGTACAGTGCAAAGCACAGATTAGTCTGAAGGGAATGACCTTGGTTTGCAGGTAGGCGACTTTTTATTGGCCTTATAATGCATTCTAATAAAAGTACTTTGTGTCTTTACTCAAGATGAGGCAGGACATGATAAGGGCTGATTTACAGCAGAAAATTCAGACAAGAGAACAGAAGATTTCTGAAGTCACATCATCTGTAAAAGCCTGCAAGGTGAGCCGAAGCAGATTATTTACATTTTCTCCTTTCAGTAAGGTTTTTTTCAACATCCTCATCATCCGTTACTCTTTTCAGGGCGGCTTGGATGCCGAATGGCTGGAGATCAACAGCGTTTTCTCAGAGGTGATGAAAGTCGTGGAGGACTCTCGGAAGAAAGCCCTTCAACCTCTGGAGGAGAGGTGTGTGGCTCAGTAAATATCGCAGTGATTTATGACATTAACTGCACCAATGTTAAGGTAATCAATAAATGACACTGCCTATTGTTACTGCATGTTATTTTAGGAGAAAGAGAGTGAGTAGAGAAGGACTACATCTGGTCAAAAAGCTGCAGAAGGAAATTGACAAAATCAGGAAGACCATTGATGAGTTGGAAGAAAATGGCGACTGGCAGGTAAGACATCCAAGCTTTTGGCATTTTTCTATCATTAAACAATTCATTTGGCCTCTATAATGCTAGATGTCAGTATGCACGGACAATATCCAGATCCAGGGGACACTAAAAGGTTTATACTGAGAATGTGACATTTATCCTACAGGGTCTTCCTAAAACATTCCTGGATGAATCTCGAGATTGGAAACATTTAACTGTTGACACTTCATTCTCCTTTGGGTCACTGAGAACTACAATATCAAGCATGATGGAACAAATTCACCAGGAACTGGAAAAACTCTCTCCTGTTGGTATGTTCTTGACGTTCAAACGTGAAAACTCAAGCACCATTGCTTTCTTTGTGTTTCGTAAAATAATAAAACAGGACTCCTAGGGAACCAATCTGAATGAAGATGTTTTTCTTATTCTACAGGCGTTACATTTAAAGCAAAAACCTATCCATTGCCTATTGCATATAATGTAATGTTTTTAAATCTAACACTATTTCTCTTTCCACAGAACTCAAGAGGAGTCGCACGCCCACACTACGCCATCACAACAAACAACACGTGAATCTGACCAATCTCCTTCCACTCCCCCGGTCCACACAACCCCTCCCAATGCAACGTCACCTCAGAGCAGCCCTGCTCAACACACGCTCCATCCACATTAAAAGCCACATTCTGAATGAATTCATTAAAGACAAAAACCTGGACTTTCTGTATCTGACCGAAACGTGGCAAAAACCCCAGGACTATTTTTCTTTAAATCAAATCACCCCAGCAGGATTCACATGCATTGACAAACCTCGCCCCACAAGGGGTGGTGGTATAGCTGCTATTTTCAGAAAGGAAATAAAAACTACCAAAATCTCCATCCCTGAGGTTTCTTCATTTGAACACCTGATCTTCAAACTCTCTGGTCCCACTCCCCTGGTCACAGCCATCATCTACCGTCCCCCGAAGCCAAACCCCTCCTTTCTCTCCGACCTCTCTGACATTCTCGCTCAGCTTTCTGCTGGAAATTCTCTCAACACATCAACTTCCCAACACACATCCGTGGTCACACCCTGGACTTGATCTGCTCCACTGGTTTCACCATCCCTCATCTGTCCAGCCTCGATCTCCACAACTGTGATCACAAGGCCATCATCATGGACATCAACATCCCCATCCCCGCCCAAAAGTAAAAACGCACAATAACCTACAGAAATCTCAAATCCATCTCACCTTCAGCAATCACTGCCTCCATTACCTGCAAGATGTCTGTCTGTCTGTCTGTCTGTCTGTCTGTCTGTCTGTCTCCCCCTCCCCCCCACACACTTTCTGAAAACCCATCTGAACTTGTGGACTATTATAACCAACCCGGTATCACGGCAAGACGTGAACATGTGACGATTTACCATGCTGGGAGACGTGAAGATGTCACGATTTCGTCCCTTCAAACGTGACAGTTACACCGTATTGTTAACATGGCCCAACCAGTGGAGAAATACCCGGAAATGCCAAGCAAATGCTACCCCGACGGTCGGTTGTTATTGTCAATATTAATATAATAATTAATTATTTTTTAATAGTCACACTCGATTTCGCGGATTTTCTTGTTGCCCCAGCTGGTTGACACCTCTTTTAGCAGAAACAAAGGCTACATTAATGTATTAAAAAAAAAACTATTTTTAACTTCAAGCTACTTTAATCTGTGTTTCCGTCGGTCATTATAACAAGGACTGTTTATTGTTTAGAGTAGGACACTGTGGAGTCTATTGTTATATAACATTAAAAGACCTATTCTTATTATTACATTATATGTTTATTGTGCTCATGAGATGTTGCTATGACTATGGAATACATAGACACAATCACTAATCCCAGGTTCTGATGGGTTGGATACAAAACGAAGGGAAAAGTCATTGAAGAAAGTTTTAGCTTGTATTAGAAATGTAGCAAAAGCCAGGTGCAGACACTGAGACAAAGAGTTATTGAAAACAGGAGATCGACCCTGGCCTTGAATGCGCGCATATATATGCACACATATATATATATATATATATATATATTTATATGCATCTATATATATATGCATATATATATGCATAGATATATATATATATATGTGTATATATATGCATATATATATATATATGCGTGCATATATGCATATATATATGCGTGCATATATATATGCGTGCATATATATATGCGTGCATATATATATGCGTGCATATATGCGTGCATATATATATGCGTGCATATATGCATATATATATGCATATATATATGCATATATGTGTACAACAGGATTGTGGACAACAGGTAAGCATTTCATTTCTTTTTCCAAAAACCGGTGGGACAGATTTAGTTTATTTTGCCTAAGTAAGTGACACGAAGGGCAATCTAAGCACAACAGGAGCACATAGCAAGCTACCTGAAATAAAATGATATTTTGCACGATACACTGACATGAAACAATCTATTTTATGCTGTGGTTTTAAAGTCCTACAGATGGACACAACATAAGACTGAGAACTGGGATTTAGGCAGAATCTCCCATAAATGGGGCGAAGCCTGAGAGCTAGTTCAGGCAGTCAACTCGAGCACTTATGCTGCATTCATACATAACGCCCCTTGCCACTCTACAACCAATTAAACAGAGTATCCTTAATATGCCGTTCTATTTAACCTGCCAGATATCTCTCTATGCATTGCTTGCTGCTGCTGCTGCGTTCGTGCCCTGCTATTGCGTTCACATTGCTACCGCTGCTGTGTTTCATGTTGCTGCTGCTTGCCTGCACCACCACCACCCCAGCTTCCACCCCACCTCCACCTGTAGGCTCGGGGGGTAAGTTATTTAATCATCACTCATCGTGCTATGTATATCTGTGGAGTGATGATGCCCGAGCCTAGACGCCAAACTCAACTATATGCTGCTTCTAATAAACATGTTAAAGAAACACGTGAGTTGTCTGACTGAACAAGACTTAAACTGGACTATATCAGAGATATATATTTTTAACCAACGTTGTATTGTTTTCAATAACTATTTGCATAATTGCTATATGTATACATTTAGGACAAACAGGTTTGGCAATAATCACTTGTTACTCAGCTGGAAGCTCTCAGACATCTTGACGGCAGATGTGTACTGATTGTAGATGACAGGCAGGAGTCGGGAGGATTTTTTTATATATGTGATGATGATACACTTTCTTAATACTTCTTTTTTGGAATATCGCGTCAGCTGTCCATGTTTTTTTTTATACCCTTGTATTTATTATCGCTCAGAAGAGATTATATTCTATTCTATTTATAACTATACATTCAAACAGGGGAAACCAAACCGACTGGTTTGTATAGGTGCTGTGCCGCACTTACGCAAACCTACGCAAACCTACGCAAACCTACACACACACACACACACACACACACACACACACACACACACACACACACACACACACACACACACACACACACACACACACACACACACACACACATTCATATTGTCATGGGGGAGGATCGATCGCTGAAGAGCAATACATAACAATGACATCAGAACTTTAATCACCTGTCTAGTTTCTTTCTTGTTGGCTTCACAGCAATATTGAAACTCATGGACCACCTTCACCCAAGAAAATCCCCCGATGGCCCTCTGACCTCTGTGCAGGATGCAGGTGAGAGGAAACACCGTCCATGCTTCTCCTTGAAGGGACCTTTCTGTTAATGCCTTCATCAGATCAAGTCATTTTATTGCGACATGGGTGATTCACCTGACTGTGTGTGTGTGTGTGTGTGTGTGTGTGTGTGTGTGTGTGTGTGTGTGTGTGTGTGCGCGTGTGTGTGTGTGTGTTTGTTACAGGGCGCTCATCGAAAAAGTAAGAGGCGGCTACTCAAAACCTTGGAAGAAGCAAGAAGACAATTGCCAAAAACTCAGGTAATTCATTTTAATACATGTTTTTTAAAAAAGTGTTTTAAGTAAAGCTTAAATGCAAATCATTGTCCATGCAGAACAAGTAAGGAACATTTTAAACATTGTCACAGTCCGGGATGACAGTATAAGTATAATACATATAATTTAAAAGGTAGTTAAAAGATATGGTACAAAGAATAGCAACTGAATCCATTTGCTTTCACCCGATAATCTTAACAAAATATGCAACACAAGTCAGATGCCCATGGACCAAATAATGACAGTATCTGTTGTTAACCGCATTTCAAACACCTGGTTTGAATAAAAGACATTTTAAAGTCGTGTTTGGTTTAACAGAGGGACTTCACTTGAAGACAGATTTCACTCAACTCCGTAGAACCGCCTATAACTGTATTTTGTAGATAATTAATGTACATTTTTTTAGATTAAAATGTACGGTTTTAAACAAAGTCCTTGTAATTCCCCCAGCTCTCAGCTGAGAAGTGAGTGCCATGGTTTTGACAGTGCCATCATTACACAGGCCAACACTCCAGTGGGATCAAAGATTTTGTTCTCTCTAGAAGGGAAAAAGACCCTACGAGTGACCCCGGAGATTTTCAGCACCTTTTCAAAGGTATGTTGTTACTCATGTGTGAAAATGAACACTACATTTGCTAACATAAACACTTACAAAAACCACACTTTTGCACCAAATGGCACACACTTCATTTATAGTACAAGACACTTTGTCCAACCAACTACACACCATAGTGCTCAATCTAAAGCACACTCATCTTTCATGGCGTTCTGTCTGTAGAGATTCTGCATATAAAGATTATTCAAGTCTACAAAAATATGTGCAGAAACACAAATATACTGTTGTTATACTTTTATTTTTCTCCAAAACAAATGTGTGCAACATTCATGCACAGCACATAGTTACAGTCGTGTAAACCCAAATGATGCCTCTGTCAAATAAAGTAAATGAAAAGTAAAACTTTGAGGAAAAATGAATACAAAAAATATTTTACAAAAAAAAGAGGAAAGAAAAGTGCTTAGGCTGCATCTCGCCACCTAGCTGGGTCTGGCCACAGCTCCTCATCAACATACAGAAGAACAAGCACCTATAGGCCTGACGATCATACAGCTTCAACCATTTGCTGCAAATAACTGACTTCAATTCATCCTCCCTCTACCTCTTATCCTCCCTCTACCTCTTCCTCTTGCTGCTATCCATATATCCATTGTTGTTGTAAAGGTATGTAGCCTTTTTCTAGTGCTTACATCCTGATTGATGAGTCAACAATGCAGCAGTTTGGTGTTTGTTCATTTGGCATGTGTATTTGTTTATTGGTTCATGTGTGTAGCATTTTTAATGGCAGTGTGGAAAATGGCACACAAGCGAATATGTCAGATTTCTGTGTCTTACTTAGAGAACCGTGTGCAGTGTTTTGCAAAAAGTGCCAAGTTCAACTGCAAATTGGGTGCAGAGCTGAAAATGTGTTTAGAGTTTTGGAGATTTGAGCTCAGGTTTTGCTCTTTGAGTGAGAGTTTAAATAATTAGGCTTTATGTGAGATGTTTGTGTGTTAGCAACTGAAAAAAACTGTAAGTCACTCACATCTGTCTGAATCCATGCTGGGTCTAGTCCATAGACTGGTCTGATCCTGAGGCTTGAAAAAGGAGGCATGGGAAGCAAAATATAGCACTTGTGTGCTACAGGTAGTTAGCCTTCTTGCTAAACAAGGTCCTTGAAAAAGAGCACGTATACTGCCTTCCTCTGTCCTTAACTCCTGCCTTTGTCAGGCTGATCAGGTCTGAGCTCTTTTACTCTCAGCTTTCCCTCCAGTCTCCTCCTCTCAAAGTGTGTTTCTTTAAAGGTAGGGTAGGTATGAATGGAGAAACCAGCTCGAGTGCGCTACAATTTTAAACTATGCAGCCAAAAGAAATATGCCCCTTCCTTCAGGCTTCCTTACAGAGCCCCTCCTCCAACACACACGAACGCGCACATGACCAATGAGGGCACGTGATAAGTTTGTGCACAGATGGAAGGCAGACAGGCAGGTAGGCCATCCAGTTATTTTAGCCGGGCCGGCTAAAATAACTGGTCGTGCTTTTTACAGTACTACGGCTTCCACAGATGAATTTTTTTAATGTATTTATTGTCAAAGCATTTAATGTATTCACTGCTATCGGGATGTTAAGAGCATTCCATGGAATATAACAAAAAGTGTTTCTGAAGTGAATTACCTATCCCACCTTTAAGTGATTAAACATAATTTTCCTTCTCCATATTCGCTATATAGTTTTGTTTACACTCCGTCTCCGTCTAACTCTCTCTCATTCAAACGTCAATCAATCACTCTGGCGCTCTTGCTGTCCCCTAGTTGTTGGCGGGGTCAACAGCTGCTTTGGGCGCAGTTTGGTGCGAAACCCTGAAACGCCTGCCCCCAACAGGGACTAAATCCCCACCCAGACCTTATGAAACAAAAATATATTGTAATATATTGGTAAATATAATACAATATACTGGATCATACATTTCCATATATGGGAAAGTAGTCCTTATATTTTTAAATATATTGCAATATATGCATGGACCATGTATGGCTATATATTGATACATATAAAAAAAAAATATTGCAATGAAAACAAAAACTGCACTATACATTTTTATATGTAATAGTTTTATTCAAACACTCATTTATCTTTCATGAGTTACACAAGTTTAAATAAAATTGAACAGATATTCATAAACAGTTATCTCACTTCGTTTTGTATAGTTACCCACTTTATATATGAACATATGTTTGATGGTATATATTAAAAAAGTACAAATACTCCATTGTCCATTGAATGATGGAAAATAATATACAGTTTATAAATATATACAGACACACACATATGCACGCATATATATATATGCGTGCATATATGCATATATATATATATGTGAATATATATACACAAAAAAACTGTAAAACTAAATATGGGTGGGCCAATGACAGAAACTTGTTTAACAAGACACAGAAGCCAGCCTACAAACTGAGGGGAAAGCAGAGAAGAATCTAGAAGAGAAGCGTGTGTGGATAGAAGGTGAGAGGACACACGTGTTAGCAGGAAGAGATCGGGATGAAGGGACTGCACATTAAGTTATCCATCTCTTTGATGTTCATTGTCCTCTGTTTGGGAAGCCTGCTGATCACTGCCTTCTGGATTGTGGACAACAGGTAAGCATTTCATTTCTTTTTCCAAAACCGGTGGGACAGATTTAGTTTATTTTGCCTAAGTAAGTGACACGAAGGGCAATCTAAGCACAACAGGAGCACATAGCAAGCTACCTGAAATAAAATGATATTTTCACGATACACTGACATGAAACAATCTATTTTATGCTGTGGTTTTAAAGTCCTACAGATGGACACAACATACAGTAAGACTGAGAACTGGGATTTAGGCAGAATCTCCCATAAATGGGGCGAAGCCTGCGAGCTAGTTCAGGCAGTCAACTCGAGCACTTATGCTGCATTCATACATAACGCCCCTTGCCACTCTACAACCAATTAAACAGAGTATCCTTAATATGCCGCTCTATTTAACCTGCCAGATATCTCTCTATGCATTGCTTGCTGCTGCGTTCGTGCCCTGCTATTGCGTTCACATTGCTACCGCTGCTGTGTTTCATGTTGCTGCTGCTTGCCTGCACCACCACCACCCCAGCTTCCACCCCAGCTTCCACCTGTAGGCTCGGGGGGTTAGTTATTTAATCATCACTCATCGTGCTATGTATATCTGTGGAGTGATGAGGCCCGAGCCTAGACGCCAAACTCAACTATATGCTGCTTCTAATAAACATGTTAAAGAAACACGTGAGTTGTCTGACTGAACAAGACTTAAACTGGATTATATCAGAGATATATATTTTCAACCAACGTTGTATGGTTTTCAATAACTATTTGCATAATTGCTATATGTATACATTTAGGACAAACAGGTTTGGCAATAATCACTTGTTAGTCAGCTGGAAGCTCTCAGACATCTTGACGGCAGATGTGTACTGATTGTAGATGACAGGCAGGAGTCGGGAGGATTTTTTTATATATGTGATGATGATACACTTTCTTAATACTTCTTTTTTGGAATATCGCGTCAGCTGTCCATGTTTTTTGTATACCCTTGTGTTTATGATGGCTGTCAGAAGAGATTCTATTCTATTCTATTTATAACTATACATTCAAACAGGGGAAACCAAACCGACTGGTTTGTATAGGTGCTGTGCCAAACCTACACACACACACACAAACCCACACACACACACACACACACAACACACACACACACACACACACACACACACACACACACAAGCACACACACACACCACACACACACACCACACACACACACACACACACACACACACACACACACACACACACACCACACACACACTTCTCCCTATTGAGGTGAGTTGTACGTGAATCAGGCAGCAGGTACGTACAGGGTGTGGGAAACTAGAAGGTAAATGTTTACTCTGGAAGCACCGGTTGGACGGCCTGAGACATGGATGCCGCCAGAGGAAAACAAACTGCATTCTCCTGTTCTCTCTACAGAGCACGAGAAGACATCAATCTACAGTATGGTATCCTTAACTGAAACATTAACCCTTCAACAGCTGAGTTTCCTCACAGTCTGTGTGCTTTTCTGGATCAGAGTGCAAATGAAGCTTTACCTTGCTACCTGGGTTAATATTTAACATGCAGACACACACACACACACACACACACACACACACACACACACACACACACACACACACACACACCACACACACACACACACACACACACACACACACACACACACACACACACACACACACACACACACCACACACACATTCATATTGTCATGGGGGAGGATCGATCGCTGAAGAGCAATACATAACAATGACATCAGAACTTTAATCACCTGTCTAGTTTCTTTCTTGTTGGCTTCACAGCAATATTGAAACTCATGGACCACCTTCACCCAAGAAAATCCCCCGATGGCCCTCTGACCTCTGTGCAGGATGCAGGTGAGAGGAAACACCGTCCATGCTTCTCCTTGAAGGGACCTTTCTGTTAATGCCTTCATCAGATCAAGTCATTTTATCGCGACATGGGTGATTCACCTGACTGTGTGTGTGTGTGTGTTTGTGTGTGTGTGTGTGTGTGTGTGTGTGTGTGTGTGTGTGTGTGTGTGTGTGTGTGTGTGTGTGTGTGTGCACGTGTGTGTGTGTGTGTGTTTGTTACAGGGCGCTCATCGAAAAAGTAAGAGGCGGCTACTCAAAACCTTGGAAGAAGCAAAAAGACATTTCCCAAAAACTCAGGTAATTCATTTTAATATATGTTTTAAAAAAAAATTTTTAAAGGGGACCTATCATGCAAAATGCACTTTTGTACGTCTTTTATACATGAATATGTGTCCCCGGTGTTCCAGGGAAGTCACCAAGTGTCAGAAAACACAACCCTCTCTATTTTCCTCCATACCCAAATCTCTAAAAAAGGGGCTGCAACGGATCTGATAAAAACTGATCCAGATTTGAACACTGTCCTGACGTCAGGATAGTGGCACTACGGCTATTGGGCCAACTCCACCAATCAGGAGGAGACAGCCACGGCCATTGCCGTTCGAAAGCGCTGGAGGCGCTGTAGTACATATGTCAGGCCTGTAGATGGTGCTGTTCTCACAGAATCTGCCCTTGCAAAAACAGAGCTAAAAAATGTCAAATTGAGCAAAATGAGGCATGGCTAAAACGCATGATCTGTTTGGTATTTTGAAAAAAAAAAAGTATAAATATGCCTTATATAGGTATGGTCCTACACTATATTATTCAAATATAGCATGATAGGTCCACTTTAAGTAAAGCTTAAATGCAAATCATTGTCCATGCAGAACAAGTAAGGAACATTTTAAACATTGTCACAGTCCGGGATGACAGTATAAGTATAATACATATAATTTAAAAGGTAGTTAAAAGATATGGTACAAAGAATAGCAACTGAATCCATTTGCTTTCACCCGATAATCTTAACAAAATATGCAACACAAGTCAGATGCCCATGGACCAAATAATGACAGTATCTGTTGTTAACCGCATTTCAAACACCTGGTTTGAATAAAAGACATTTTAAAGTCGTGTTTGGTTTAACAGAGGGACTTCACTTGAAGACAGATTTCACTCAACTCTGAAGAACCGCCTATAACTGTATTTTGTAGATAATTAATGTACATTTTTTTAGATTAAAATGTACGGTTTTAAACAAAGTCCTTGTAATCCCCCAGCTCTCAGCTGAGAAGTGAGTGCCATGGTTTTGACAGTGCCATCATTACACAGGCCAACACTCCAGTGGGATCAAATATTTTGTTCTCTCTAGAAGGGAAAAAGACCCTACGAGTGACCCCGGAGATTTTCAGCACCTTTTCAAAGGTATGTTGTTACTCATGTGTGAAAATGAACACTACATTTGCTAACATAAACACTTACAAAAACCACACTTTTGCACCAAATGGCACACACTTCATTTATAGTACAAGACACTTTGTCCAACCAACTACACACCATAGTGCTCAATCTAAAGCACACTCATCTTTCATGGCGTTCTGTCTGTAGAGATTCTGCATATAAAGATTATTCAAGTCTACAAAAATATGTGCAGAAACACAAATATACTGTTGTTATACTTTTATTTTTCTCCAAAACAAATGTGTGCAACATTCATGCACAGCACATAGTTACAGTCGTGTAAACCCAAATGATGCCTCTGTCCAATAAAGTAAATGAAAAGTAAAACTTTGAGGAAAGATTAATACAAAAAATATTTTACAAAAAAAAGAGGAAAGAAAAGTGCTTTGGCTGCATCTCGCCACCTAGCTGGGTCTGGCCACAGCTCCTCATCAACATACAGAAGAACAAGCACCTATAGGCCTGACGATCATACAGCTTCAACCATTTGCTGCAAATAACTGACTTCAATTCATCCTCCCTCTACCTCTTATCCTCCCTCTACCTCTTCCTCTTGCTGCTATCCATATATCCATTGTTGTTGTAAAGGTATGTAGCCTTTTTCTAGTACTTACATCCTGATTGATCAGTCAACAATGAAGCAGTTTGGTGTTTGTTCATTTGGAATGTGTATTTGTTTATTGGTTCATGTGTGTAGCATTTTTAATGGCAGTTTTTTGAAAATGGCACACAAGCCAATATGTCAGATTTCTGTATCTTACTTAGAGAACCGTGTGCAGTGTTTTGCAAAAAGTGCCAAGTTCAACTGCAAATTGGGTGCAGAGCTGAAAATGTGTTTAGAGTTTTGGAGATTTGAGCTGATGTTTTGCTCTTTGAGTGTTATTTATTTGAGTGTGTTAGCAACTGAAAATAACTGTAATAGGAGGACGTTTTTATGTTGTGAAATTCTCCACATCTATCTTTCACCTTCTTTAGGATTTAAGTTACATTCCTAGATTTAGGTTCAACCACTGGATTTGATCGATGTTCTGGACAGGATTGAAGAGCGTTCTTTTTACACTATGCAACGTTTATTGGTCAGTCTCAGGTGATGATGGGCAGCCTCAGAGCCTAAATGTCCACTAGTGTGTGATTGCCATCCAGTCCCCCTTGTGCTTAATTGAGACACAATCGTCAGAAAAAAGGAATTGAAAAATAAGTTTGAAGAGGGGGAAAAAAGTTTCTAATTGTACCTGATAACTGTTCAATTATATTATGGCATTTAAGAATGTCCTTTAACCAATCGGGCTGCTGAGAAATGTAGGGTGAATGGGAGGTGCTTTCTGTTCAACGTGCAGAAAATGTGCTCCGTCCCATATTTTAGGTGCCCCATCACGTAGGCTGGGGATGTGGTTGCTGAGCAGTGTGCTTGTGTGTTCCAACAATCGTTTATTATATTTATTATAACATTTACTTCATTAATACATTATATCAGTTTACATGTTGAGTCATCCTAATGTGTGTTGTCAGTGGTTAAAGAAAAATACAAAATCTTTTCACTATTAATGGTTAAGGATGGGTATAACGAGAGGCTACAGCCCTTGTTTTTTACATACAGGATCTTATTATCAGTATAAATGTTTCTTGTATTGTAATGCATTTTTGATTGGTGTTAATCCCAGGAAAATCTGTTTCAAAATAAAAAATGGGACACGTGTGCTGTTGTTGGGAACTCAGGGATTCTGAGCAACAGCAGCTGTGGAGAGATGATCGATTCAGCTCAGTTTGTTATCAGGTGAGAACATTGTCTAGATTAGGGGACTGAAAGGCTGATGATGGTATTGATTGACAGAATTAAACGTTTCAGGTGCAACTTGCCTTCTTTGAGAAAAAGCTATGAAAAAGATGTTGGCATGAAGACTGACGTTGTGACAGCAAACCCATCCATCATATGGAAAAAGTAAGCAATTGGATAAAACTCATTGAACCTTAAATGTTCCCCTTTGTGTTGTTGCTTGACGTGTGCTTTTTATTTTCAGGTACGGGGATCTAGAAAGGCGTCGGCGTCCATTTGTTGAGAGCCTGCGTATCTACGGCAAGTCCCGTCTGCTTCTTCCTGCCTTCACCTTTGCTCGTGACGTTCCTAGAAGCCTGCGAGCCGTATACACTGCTGAGGACTTTGAAAGTCCTATGTGGCCTGTTTTCTTAAACCCTGACTACATAAGAAATCTGACCCTCTTCTGGCGCTCCCGAGGCCAGCGCAAAGGTGCTCTCAGCACCGGCCTTAAGATGGTTAGCCTAGCACTCGAACACTGTGCCAACGTGCATCTGTACGGGTTCTGGCCCTTCAGTATCCACCCATTTGAACTCAATGCCGTGAATAACCACTACTTCGATAACAACAAAGCTAGCTGGATACTCCACGCCATGCCAGATGAGTTTGACCTCTGGTTGCAGCTACACATTCAAGGGGTGCTCAGGCTTCATCTTGGAAAGTGTCAACCGGGTACCAATTAGTTCCCTGAACCACAGACAACTGACACGGGAGCGGCAAAGTGTTGTGTTTGCATTGTTGGAAACTTTGAAAACATACATTTGCAAGCAATTTTTTGTTTTGTTTAGATATAGCAAAGCTACCCTTAACCTGCAGCTTTTAGACAGTATGAACTTGTCAGAGCAGAATGAAAGGGGTTGAGTTACAGTAGTGAATCAATGTTGAATTAATTGACAAAAACTAATAATTACTTTGTTTTATGGCAAAACAAGTTTGTTGCTTCAGGACTTAGCTACTCAAAACATAGCAAAAAAAGGAATGTCACTATATGAATATCACAGTTGCTGTCCATATATCCATTGTTGTTTTTATACATTTCTTACAAGAAGCCTTTTTCTAGTGCTTACATCCTGATTGATGAGTCAACAATAAAGCAGTTTGGTGGATATGTTCATTTGGCATTGTATTGGTGATTGGTTCATGTGTGTAGCATTTTTAATGGCAGTTTTTTGAAAATGGCAAACAAGTGAATATGTCAGATTTCTGTGTCTTACTTAGTGAACTGTGTGCAGTGTTTTTCAAAAAGTGCCAAGTTGAATTGCAAATTGGGTGCAGAGCTGAACATGTGTTTAGAGTTTTGGAGATTTGAGCTCAGGTTTTGCTCTTTGAGTGAGAGTTTAAATAATTAGGCTTTATGTGAGATGTTTGTGTGTTAGCAACTGAAAAAAAACTGTAAGTCACTCACATCTGTCTGAATCCATGCTGGGTCTGGTCCATAGACTGGTCTGATCCTGAGGCTTGAAAAAGGAGGCAGGGGAAGCAAAATATAGCACTTGTGTGCTTCAGGTAGTTAGCCTTCTTGCTAAACAAGGTCCTTGAAAAAGAGCACGTATACTGCCTTCCTCTGTCCTTAACTCCTGCCTATGTCAGGCTGATCAGGTCCGAGCTCTTTTACTCTCAGCTTTCCCTCCAGTCTCCTCCTCTCAAAGTGTGTTTCTTTAAAGGTAGGGTAGGTATGAATGGAGAAACCAGCTTGAGTGCGCTAGAATTTTAAACTATGCAGCCGAAAGAAATATGCCCCTTCCTTCAGACTTCCTGACAGAGCCCTTCCTCCAATACACACGAACGCGCACATGACCAATGAGGGCACGAGATAAGTTTGTGCACAGATGGACGGCCCGGCTAAAATAACTTGTCGTGCTTTTTACAGTACTACGGCTTCCACAGATGAATTTTTTTAATGTATTTATTGTCAAAGCATTTAATGTATTCATTGCTATCGGGATGTTAAGAGCATTCCATGGAATATAACAAAAAGTGTTTCTGAAGTGAATTACCTATCCCACCTTTAAGTAATTAAACATAATTTTCCTTCTCCATATTCGCTATCTAGTTTGGTTTACACTCCGTCTCCGTCTAACTCTCTCTCATTCAAACGTCAATCAATCACTCTGGCGCTCCTGCTGTCCCCTAGTTGTTGGCGGTGTCAACAGCTGCTTTGGGCGCAGTTTGGTGCGAAACCCTGAAACGCCTGCCCCCAACAGGGACTAAATCCCCACCCAGACCTTATGAAACAAAAATATATTGTAATATATTGGTAAATATAATACAATATACTGGATCATACATTTCCATATATGGGAAAGTAGTCCTTATATTTTTAAATATATTGCAATATATGCATGGACCATGTATGGCTATATATTGATACATATAAAAAAAAAATATTGCAATGAAAACAAAAACTGCACTATACATTTTTACATGTAATAGTTTTATTCAAACACTCATTTATCTTTCATGCGTTACACACGTTTAAATAAAATTGAACAGATATTCATAAACAGTTATCTCACTTCGTTTTGTATAGTTACCCACTTTATATATGAACATATGTTTGATGGTAAAAATTAAAAAAGTACAAATACTCCATTGTCCATTGAATGATGGAAAATAATATACAGTTTATAAATATATACAGACACACACATATGCACGCATATATATATATGCGTGCATATATGCATATATATATATATATATATGTGAATATATATACACAAAAAAACTCTAAAACTAAATATGGGTGGGCCAATGACAGAAACTTGTTTAACAACACACAGAAGCCAGCCTACAAACTGAGGGGAAAGCAGAGAAGAATCTAGAAGAGAAGCGTGTGTGGATAGAAGGTGAGAGGACACGCGTGTTAGCAGGAAGAGATCGGGATGAAGGGATTGCACATTAAGTTATCCATCTCTTTGATGTTCATTGTCCTCTGTTTGGGAAGCCTGCTGATCACTGCCTTCTGGATTGTGGACAACAGGTAAGCATTTCATTTCTTTTTCCAAAAACCGGTGGGACAGATTTAGTTTATTTTGCCTAAGTAAGTGACACGAAGGGCAATCTAAGCACAACAGGAGCACCCATAGCAAGCTACCTGAAATAAAATGATATTTTGCACGATACACTGACATGAAACAATCTATTTTATGCTGTGGTTTATCGTCCTACAGATGGACACAACATAAGACTGAGAACTGGGATTTAGGCAGAATCTCCCATAAATGGGGCGAAGCCTGCGAGCTAGTTCAGGCAGTCAACTCGAGCACTTATGCTGCATTCATACATAACGCCCCTTGCCACTCTACAACCAATTAAACAGAGTATCCTTAATATGCCGCTCTATTTAACCTGCCAGATATCTCTCTATGCATTGCTTGCTGCTGCGTTCGTGCCCTGCTATTGCGTTCACATTGCTACCGCTGCTGTGTTTCATGTTGCTGCTGCTTGCCTGCCCCACCACCACCCCAGCTTCCACCCCAGCTTCCACCTGTAGGCTCGGGGGGTTAGTTATTTAATCATCACTCATCGTGCTATGTATATCTGTGGAGTGATGAGGCCCGAGCCTAGACGCCAAACTCAACTATATGCTGCTTCTAATAAACATGTTAAAGAAACACGTGAGTTGTCTGACTGAACAAGACTTAAACTGGACTATATCAGAGATATATATTTTTAACCAACGTTGTATGGTTTTCAATAACTATTTGCATAATTGCTATATGTATACATTTAGGACAAACATGTTTGGCAATAATCACTTGTTACTCAGCTGGAAGCTCTCAGACATCTTGACGGCAGATGTGTACTGATTGTAGATGACAGGCAGGAGTCGGGAGGATTTTTTTATATGTGATGATGATACACTTTCTTAATACTTCTTTTTTGGAATATCGCGTCAGCTGTCCATGTTTTTTTTATACCCTTGTGTTTATGATGGCTGTCAGAAGAGATTCTATTCTATTCTATTTATAACTATACATTCAAACAGGGGAAACCAAACCGACTGGTTTGTATAGGTGCTGTGCCGCACTTACACAAACCTACACAAACCTACACACACACACACACACACACACACACACACACACACACGCACACACACACACACACACACACACATTCATATTGTCATGGGGGAGGATCGATCGCTGAAGAGCAATACATAACAATGACATCAGAACTTTAATCACCTGTCTAGTTTCTTTCTTGTTGGCTTCACAGCAATATTGAAACTCATGGACCACCTTCACCCAAGAAAATCCCCCGATGGCCCTCTGACCTCTGTGCAGGATGCAGGTGAGAGGAAACACCGTTCATGCTTCTCCTTGAAGGGACCTTTCTGTTAATGCCTTCATCAGATCAAGTCATTTTATCGCGACATGGGCGATTCACCTGACTGTGTGTGTGTGTGTGTGTGTGTGTGTGTGTGTGTGTGTGTGTGTGTGTGTGTGTGTGTGTGTGTGTGTGTGTGTGTGTGTGTGTGTGTGTGTGCGCGCGTGCGCGCGTGCGTGCGTGCGTGCGTGCGTGCGTGCGTGCGTGCGTGCGTGCGTGCTTGTTACAGGGCGCTCATCGAAAAAGTAAGAGGCGGCTACTCAAAACCTTGGAAGAAGCAAAAAGACAATTCCCAAAAACTCAGGTAATTCATTTTAATATATGTTTTAAAAAAAATGTTTTAAAATGTTTTATCATGCAAAATGCACTTTTGTACGTCTTTTATACATGAATATGTGTCCCCGGTGTTCCAGGGAACTCACCAAGTGTCAGAAAACACAACCCTCTCTATTTTCCTCCATACCCAAATCTCTAAAAAAGGGGCTGCAACGGATCTGATAAAAACTGATCCAGATTTGAACACTGTCCTGACGTCAGGACAGTGGCGCTACGGCTATTGGGCCAACTCCACCAATCAGGAGGAGACAGCCACGGCCATTGCCGTTCGAAAGCGCTGGAGACGCTGTAGTACATATGCCAGGCCTGTAGATGGTGCTGTTCTCACAGAATCTGCCCTTGCTAAAACAGAGCTAAAAAATGTCAAATTGAGCAAAATGAGGCATGGCTAAAATGCATGATCTGTTTGGTATTTTGAAAAAAAATGTATAAATATGCCTTATATAGGTATGGTCCTACACTATATTATTCAAATATAGCATGATAGGTCCACTTTAAGTAAAGCTTAAATGCAAATCATTGTCCATGCAGAACAAGTAAGGAACATTTAAAACATTGTCACAGTCCGGGATGACAGTATAAGTATAATACATATAATTTAAAAGGTAGTTAAAAGATATGGTACAAAGAATAGCAACTGAATCCATTTGCTTTCACCCGATAATCTTAACAAAATATGCAACACAAGTCAGATGCCCATGGACCAAATAATGACAGTATCTGTTGTTAACCGCATTTCAAACACCCGGTTTGAATAAAAGACATTTTAAAGTCGTGTTTGGTTTAACAGAGGGACTTCACTTGAAGACAGATTTCACTCAACTCCCAAGAACCGCCTATAACTGTATTTTGTCGATAATTAATGTACATTTTTTTAGATTAAAGTTTACGGTTTTAAACAAAGTCCTTGTAATCCCCCAGCTCTCAGCTGAGAAGTGAGTGCCATGGTTTTGACAGTGCCATCATTACCCAGGCCAACACTCCAGTGGGATCAAATATTTTGTTCTCTCTAGAAGGGAAAAAGACCCTACGAGTGACCCCGGAGATTTTCAGCACCTTTTCAAAGGTATGTTGTTACTCATGTGTGAAAATGAACACTACATTTGCTAACATAAACACTTACAAAAACCACACTTTTGCACCAAATGGCACACACTTCATTTATAGTACAAGACACTTTGTCCAACCAACTACACACCATAGTGCTCAATCTAAAGCACACTCATCTTTCATGGCGTTCTGTCTGTAGAGATTCTGCATATAAAGATTATTCAAGTCTACAAAAATATGTGCAGAAACACAAATATACTGTTGTTATACTTTTATTTTTCTCCAAAACAAATGTGTGCAACATTCATGCACAGCACATAGTTACAGTCGTGTAAACCCAAATGATGCCTCTGTCAAATAAAGTAAATGAAAAGGAAAACTTTGAGGAAAAATTAATACAACAAATATTTTACAAAAAAAAGAGGAAAGAAAAGTGCTTAGGCTGCATCTCGCCACCTAGCTGGGTCTGGCCACAGCTCCTCATCAACATACAGAAGAACTAGCACCTATAAGCCTGACGATCATACAGCTTCAACCATTTGCTGCAAATAACTGACTTCAATTCATCCTCCCTCTACCTCTTATCCTCCCTCTACCTCTTCCTCTTGCTGCTATCCATATATCCATTGTTGTTGTAAAGATAGCCTTTATCTAGTGCTTACATCCTGATTGATGAGTCAACAATGAAGCAGTTTGGTGTTTGTTCATTTGGCATGTGTATTTGTTTATTGGTTCATGTGTGTAGCATTTTTAATGGCAGTGTTTGGAAAATGGCACACAAGCCAATATGTCAGATTTCTGTATCTTACTTAGAGAACCGTGTGCAGTGTTTTGCAAAAAGTGCCAAGTTCAACTGCAAATTGGGTGCAGAGCTGAAAATGTGTTTAGAGTTTTGGAGATTTGAGCTGATGTTTTGCTCTTTGAGTGTTATTTATTTGAGTGTGTTAGCAACTGAAAATAACTGTAATAGGAGGACGTTTTTATGTTGTGAAATTCTCCACATCTATCTTTCACCTTCTTTAGGATTTAAGTTACATTCCTAGATTTAGGTCCAACCACTGGATTTGATTGATGTTCTGGACAGGATTGAAGAGCGTTCTTTTTACACTATGCAACGTTTATTGGTCAGTCTCAGGTGATGATGGGCAGCCTCAGAGCCTAAATGTCCACTAGTGTGTGATTGCCATCCAGTCCCCCTTGTGCTTAATTGAGACACAATCGTCAGAAAAAAGGAATTGAAAAATAAGTTTGAAGAGGGGGAAAAAAGTTTCTAATTGTACCTGATAACTGTTCAATTATATTATGGCATTTAAGAATGTCCTTTAACCAATCGGGCTGCTGAGAAATGTAGGGTGAATGGGAGGTGCTTTCTGTTCAACGTGCAGAAAATGTGCTCCGTCCCATATTTTAGGTGCCCTATCACGTAGGCTGGGGATGTGGTTGCTGAGCAGTGTGCTTGTGTGTTCCAACAATCGTTTATTATATTTATTATAACATTTACTTCATTAATACATTATATCAGTTTACATGTTGAGTCATCCTAATGTGTGTTGTCAGTGGTTAAAGAAAAATACAAAATCTTTTCACTATTAATGGTTAAGGATGGGTATAACGAGAGGCTACAGCGCTTGTTTTTTGCATACAGAATCTTATTATCAGTATAAATGTTTCTTGTATTGTAATGCATTTTTGATTGGTGTTAATCCCAGGAAAATCTGTTTCAAAATAAAAAATGGGACATGTGTGCTGTTGTTGGGAACTCAGGGATTCTGAGCAACAGCAGCTGTGGAGAGATGATCGATTCAGCTCAGTTTGTTATCAGGTGAGAACATTGTCTAGATTAGGGGACTGAAAGGCTGATGATGGTATTGATTGACAGAATTAAACGTTTCAGGTGCAACTTGCCTTCTTTGAGAAAAGGCTATGAAAAAGATGTTGGCATGAAGACTGACGTTGTGACAGCAAACCCATCCATCATATGGAAAAAGTAAGCAATTGGATAAAACTCATTGAACCTTAAATGTTCCCCTTTGTGTTGTTGCTTGACGTGTGCTTTTTATTTTCAGGTACGGGGATCTAGAAGGGCGTCGGCGTCCATTTGTTGAGAGCCTGCGTATCTACGGCAAGTCCCGTCTGCTTCTTCCTGCCTTCACCTTTGCTCGTGACGTTCCTAGAAGCCTGCGAGCCGTATACACTGCTGAGGACTTTGAAAGTCCTATGTGGCCTGTTTTCTTAAACCCTGACTACATAAGAAATCTGACCCTCTTCTGGCGCTCCCGAGGCCAGCGCAAAGGTGCTCTCAGCACCGGCCTTAAGATGGTTAGCCTAGCACTCGAACACTGTGCCAACGTGCATCTGTACGGGTTCTGGCCCTTCAGTATCCACCCATTTGAACTCAATGCCGTGAATAACCACTACTTCGATAACAACAAAGCTAGCTGGATACTCCACGCCATGCCAGATGAGTTTTGACCTCTGGTTGCAGCTACACATTCAAGGGGTGCTCAGGCTTCATCTTGGAAAGTGTCAACCGGGTACCAATTAGTTCCCTGAACCACAGACAACTGACACGGGAGCGGCAAAGTGTTGTGTTTGCATTGTTGGAAACTTTGAAAACATACATTTGCAAGCAATTTTTTGTTTTGTTTAGATATAGCAAAGCTACCCTTAACCTGCAGCTTTTTAGACAGTATGAACTTGTCAGAGCAGAATGAAAGGGGTTGAGTTACAGTAGTGAATCAATGTTGAATTAATTGACAAAAACTAATAATTACTTTGTTTTATGGCAAAACAAGTTTGTTGCTTCAGGACTTAGCTACTCAAAACATAGCAAAAAAAGGAATGTCACTATATGAATATCACAGTTGCTGTCCATATATCCATTGTTGTTTTTATACATTTCTTACAAGAAGCCTTTTTCTAGTGCTTACATCCTGATTGATGAGTCAACAATAAAGCAGTTTGGTGGATATGTTCA